AAAACAACCCAAAGTCAAACAAACAAGTTATACCTGCCATGTGGAAGAGATTGGTATTACCATCTACAGCTAAAATTTAGTCAGTGTAAGACTACAGCCACAACACCCACCCTATTAATGCCAAGATCTATACTGTGTGCCAACTGTCAAAGGCAAGGGGGGGCTGGAACTCGATGCATCAACTCTCAAATTAAATAGATGAAAACACCAACTCTTTGGTTTATTTTTTAAATAAATTTCACACATGGATGACAGGCAAGAAATGCATGTTTGTGCATTAAGTATAACCTAATGAACAATCCTCTCTCTTTCATAAGTAATTTGAGTCAAAACTAATGTCTTATTATGACATACAAGCCCTACTAGGTCTTTCTTCAAGATAGATTTTCAGGTGTTAGTTAGGTCATCAGTTCTGAAACACTCCTTCCTATTATGGGAGGATTTTATAGTTATAACTGCAATTAAAAAACCCACCAAAAAAACCCCACCAACCCCTCCTCACTTTGTCCCCATAAAGTTTGTGACTACATGGCATTCTCCTAGCAGACTTAGGTCTTTGCATTCCACAAAAGTTTTTGTCAAAGCTAAAAATTTTGATGGTGATAGGTCAAGGCAAGGTTTCCATGATGAATTTTTCAGTGAACACTGCCCAATGACAACAGTACACTGACTATGAATCGTATAATATCTGTGGTCAATTCAACTTAGAAACTGTTTCACCACTTTAAAAAAAAAACAACCAAACAACAATAAACCAGAACAGTACACATTTATCTTTGACTGGTTTCTTAATGTGTAGAAATTAATCTTTTGGTTTTAGCAACCAAGTCAAATATTACACTAAGTTAAAATTTCTGAAAAATACGAAGAAGTAGTTACCTGTTTACCAATTCTAACTTTAGAATTAACACTGAAAATGCAGTCAACATGACCGTGGCTTAAAAATCTTGAATTTTACAGATGAGTCTGAAATCTAGCAGGTTCTTCTGCAAACATTCAGTTCTCAGAGATAGTGATTTATAAAACACCTCAAACTATTGCAGCCTTACCAGAAGCTTAGTTTACAGTTTAATACCTGTAACAATAAAGTACTTAAACTAGGAGTTACAATATAGGCAATGGAATGAAACTTGGAATTAGAAAGTGACTTTAACCCTTCATGATATCTTAGGAAGTACTTGGATACAAAACTTCCAAGCTCATTTTACAAGGTCAACACATTAACTCTCAGAGAATTCATCTGCTGTTGACAAACCTTGTACTATTCACCTTTAAGACTCATTGCAGCTTTAGTTACGTTTGAAGTAGAAAAAACATATCTTCTTGTCTTTTCAATAAACTGTTCCAAAGTTTTTGACAGCCAAGAAATATGTGAAGTGAAAAGAAAAGTCAGTCAGCACTGTTCAACATCATTTTAATCTCCATGGAGGGGAAAATAATATAAACATGTTAACACAAACAGAAAATGTTTTGGAAGAGACCATATGGTACTATGACAGGATTTTAGTTTATAGAAATGTAATTTGTAATTTTATAAAAATTATATGAAAGAATAACAACATCTTTCAGTAACATCAGACAGTATAGAAAAAATAAATCTCAACATTAGTTGTACTCTGATGGTCCTTCTAGTAAGAAATTTAAAAGTGCTTTTTAATAACAGTGTTGCAACTCAACATTAGTGCAATAAGTCAAATCTGTTTTAAAGCAGATATTTATAGCAATTGTGCAAGTTCTTACAATTAACAAACCCCATCAATCTAAAAATCAACACTAAGTGAGGTAAGTATTCTAATTAGAATTAAACATTCCTTAAATGTTTACCACCAATTCTACTACAGGAAAATATTGGTGTTCCTTCAGAGAAAGGCTCAAACCTAAACGTGACATGAAGCTTGTACTACAAATCAGTGAATAACTGGAAGTTAAAAAAGCTCTTGCAAAACACAGTTCAGTACGTTTATAACCCAGTGCTACAAACAGTACCTAATGCAAAATAAACCAACTTAAATGCAAAATTTACAATTCGTGCACTGAATTTGCTTTTGAATATGCTATTTTGTTCCCAAATCCTCCCAGAAGCTCCCATATAAAGTTAGCACATTAAATTAATGTAGAAATTGCACTATACTTTCATCTGTAAATATGAACAATTTGGTTACCAACTATGACTGCAACTACGAGTACCATTACTCCTCAAGCAAGTGAAAAACACAGCACTAGTTGTGGGGGAAAAAAATACTTACTCTTCACTGTTTTATATATGACAAGCTGGCAATAATGAAAGACACCCTATATTTCTACATGACATTTTCTGCACGAATTCTCAGAACTCTAAAATTAGTTTTCATTTTGTTGTAGTTTCTTTAATCTGTGATTTACGATGCATAGTAACTATTGCCTTTTATATGCAGGCCTCATTTTAAGAGAGGCAAAAACTAGATTGTTAATGCTGAGCCCTTATGGTTCATTTGCCTATTGAGCCAAAGGCATTTCATATTTTATTTCTCAAGGTGTTTATAAGTAGAATTTAAGTCACTACCAACAACAGGAATAAAACATAAATTATTGAGCTTCGTTCTAATAGGCTATGGCTTAAAAGCCTTTCAACTGAACTGTTTTTTATAGTATTGCACTTAACTTTAGTGTTAAACTGACAGTTGACGCCTGCAGAGAACTTGTTTATAACAATATTTCAATAAAAAAGCAATAAATAAAACACAATATCTTAAAACAAAAAAAGCCAGTAGGTTTAGTCCATATTTCTCCCACCACAGCTCAAATTGCATCATCTGAAATAGGTCTGGGACAGTCTTTGGATACCAACTGCATAGTTCTTTCAACATAACAGACTATCCATAACAATAAGAGAAGCAATTAAAGCTTTCTTCAGTAATATTACAAACTGAAAGACAGTACCCTTCAGTATACATCTCAATTAGCTTAAAAGGATTTGTTGCCTTTGCTCAAGATAGCTTCAGAAGTTACACACAGTTATTCTGTGACCGTGTTATTATCTGTACCATGTTATTTTACAGGCAAGCCTTTTTAAAATACATTATATTAACCCTGATAACGACGTGGAGACTTCCTGCTCCTAAACCAGGAAGTTGTTTCCTTCAAAACTTATTAACTTGTCATTGCAGTGACAATTTGCTTATGTCTTTAGCAGAGTCTCTAATCATCTGTTCTACCTTGGGATTTCCAGCTCCACTGGTTGCTAGTTCCTTGTCAATAAGCCCCAGGTTGTGCAAATTGATGATGGAATCGGCAATAATCCGCGCTGTCCTCTTCTGGTAACCTCCAGAAGTCACCATCAGGATTGGGATTCTGCGGCTTCTAGCAGCCTTGAACACAACTTCATCTCTCTTGACAATTCCCTGCAAGTTTAAAACAGTTTTTTGTTTTGTTTTTTAAAAAAGCTCAATGAATATATTTTAGTTCTAGCCTATGGTTTATGGACTTACAGTATTTGATGCTTGATAAGCCTCACATTTTACAACAGGAATAAAAAAAATCATTTACAAGTCCTGTTGGCAGGTTTACATGCATAATCATTAAAAAAAAAAAAAGGAAAAACAAATCAAAAATCCTTTACTTGGTTTTAGAGGACACAACAAATAATAACCTTTATTGTAAAAGTATAAATTCCTAGAATTCCTGCTCAAAGGCCACAAAGTCTAAACTGACTATAAAGTTTAGAAATGTTCACCTTGTTTTACAGGTGAGGAATTGAGACTAAGATAGACTGTCTGAATTCGAAGTGCTCAACATGCACAGCACCCTCTGACAAAAGTGTAGCAACCTGATCAAGATTTCACAAACCTACAGGAAATTCAAATCAGATTTTACACATTCCCAATCACCAGCTGAATTACAAGCTTCCAGTTTCTTTAATAAAAGCCTGTAGTTGAGTTTAAAAGGATCTATGGCTGAAGGGAGTTGCAGAACCTAAGAATTGGTAAATCCATAAAAAGGAAAATAAATTATAAATAATTTCTTACTAAGAGAAGGATATAGAACTAAAAAAATAACAAAGACTGCTGACCAAGAGGTACAGTACTGTCATTGAACCCATACAGCAGAAGACTTCAAGTCTCTTTTTCAAATAAGTACATGTGGGGAAAAAGAGAGAATTCAGAAATAAATGAGAACAGAATTAAAATCTACTTTTGTGGAAAAAGTAAAATCAGAGAGTTCCAGAGACACATAAATAATGGCATAAACAAGCCAATACAACTCCTCACCAAAAAAAAAAAAAAAAAAAGACTAATGACATAATAGACAACAGCTTACAATGGACAGCTCAAAATTTAAATAAATTCAAAAGCTGGAGAAAGGGATTAAAACACAATCAAACACAAAAAAATTAAGCAAGCAGCAGCAAAATTATTACAGCAAAATGAATATGCACTACTCAGACTTCAGACTGGTTAGAAAAAGACTGTAAATACATTAAGAAATATTAGCCTGCCATAAAAAAAAAAATTAAACCACAAACAAATGGTAAAGAATAAAATTCAAATGTAGCTGAAAAAATATTTTGTAAAACCATAAAACACTAATGTTTTTTGTGTAGTTTGACACAGGCCTGTAAAAGAACAATGGGAGTAAGGAATAATAACTTAAAAATAAGACAAAGGAAACTAAAGAATTATATTAGGAACAGATCCTTAAAGGAAGTAACAGAATTACAGGATGAGCTGTAGGTCCCTTGAGAGCCACCGCTGGATGCAGCAAACATTCTACCACACAAGAACTGGAAGCAGTCACTATATTCAGAGGAGCCCAACTGCCTCATCCCTGCTCCAGCATCTCTAGTGCCTGAGCCTGGAAGAACTGAGGGAAAAACACATGGGTGTATTCTGGTATTTGCATGTTACTAAGAAAGAAAATACATCAAATGAAGATGACAGCCTGATACAGGTCCCACTTACAAACAAAGGTGAGAGGGACTTACCCGCTACACCTCAAGTTTTCTCGCTATAGCCTCAAGCACCAAGAAACTACCACCCACAGCACTCTGAGGAGGCATAATTTTGAGCAGAATTAACACTGTAGCAAGATTCTAAAATGTGAATGACATCTACAACTGTAGAACTGAAGACTGGACTAATGAACCTTCAAGAGATGAATTATCCAAGCTCAATGCCTTCAGTTTTAGCATTTCCAGTAGCCTGGGATTTCAGGTGTGGTGAAACACAGCATTCACACCTAGGCCAACAAGATCAGAGCAACAAGAAACCCTGCTCTCAAGTCAGAAACCAAGGCTTGAGCTACAGAAACCTTTCTCCATCAGGCACCTGAAAAGTACATCTTAAAGTCCTCTCTAGCTTCCATTTCTCTTGGTAGCCACTGCTTTCCAAAAAGCTCTGCTCCACCAAATGAGATCTTACGCCTCAGGTCATATCCTCTCCCAGGTCAAAAGCAAACCAGTGCAAGCCCTTCAGCTCTTCCCTTCTCCTTAGAGAGACTTTTACACAGACAAGGAAACAAAAGCAAGAGATTCAGAGTGGCTCCAAACTCATTCCACCTTGGGTCCATCAAGGACTTTACCGGCAGTCAGGAACAAAAAGGCTGCTCAGCGACAGAGACGGCAGGAATGAGGAAATACATAATGGAGCCAATAAAAACCAGCAACGAACTAGAGCTCAGTGCAAGAAGAAGCATTTGATACCTAAAGTACTGCAAAACAGAATGAAAATTGAACAGATTGAGTGATGGCTCGATTAGAATGGAATCCAAGAGCTTACAAATCAAGAAAGTCTTTTTCTGTATTGAACTGGTGGACACTAAGAGAGACCTGACTGTGAAAACAGGAGAGAGACAGAACTGAGGAACTTTTAGAGAAGGAATCATTATAAAAACAAACAAAAAGAAAAACAAACCCAACAACTCACCACAAACCAGAGGAAATACAAGATCTGTAAATTTGGTGTATTTTGCAAAAAGACAACCTGCTATACCTGGAAGGTGAAGACTTTAATGAAGCTATACAGAATAAATCAAAATTTAGATTTGGTAACTGAGGAGAGTAGTTAAACTGAACTGAAAAAAGGTAATGATATTTATATAGAAAAGAATGAGGAAAGGGGGAAAAAATCTGTTCATTTGCTAGGATTACATAGAGAGGCTGCACAAAATTGCTAGAACTGGAAGATACTGAAGAGCAGTTTAAAACAGCTGGGAGTGCTACAGAGAAAACTAGGTGTAAGGTACATACTGGGGGTGACAAAAGAAATACATTGCAAAATGGGTTGTGTGAGGGGAAAAGAAACAAAGGAAGAATGAAACAAACTGGAAAAATAAGTGTCAGGTGAAGTGTGAAAATACATGCCTGTCCAGTTACTGTCTGGATGTTCAAAATCTGTATATTTTAGAGAGAGGATGAATGATACTGGAAGAGGCACCTGAAGAACAAAAATATTTAGAGGTAGGAAGAGACAATGAAAAACTGTATGTATCTGTATGTATCTACAGCAGGAAAACGCTCTGCTTTAGTGTGAAGTGTGCACCCTGCCTTCACCTACCAAACTGCCACAACCAGGACTGCCTTCTGTACCTAGTGAGGAGCCAGAGTCTGTAGGTATTTTAGTATTATACAAACCTGAGGTGAAATGGCAAGTCCTCCCAATGGATCGCCATCCAAAATATCAGTCCCAGCATTATAAACAATGATGTCAGGTTTTAATTCATTTAATGCTCCTTCCACATGAGTATGGACCTTCTGAAGATATTCTGTGTCTTCTGTACCCCACTCTAATTCCACTTTTCGTTTTATGGCACCTAAAAAAAAGTTTCAATGATACTGAATAAACAAAGCATTGTATTGAAAGAAAATGCAAGATTCGGGTAAGCAAGAGAAAAAGATAACAGTTTTGGTAATTCTGCAAATCATAAAGAAAATTATTGACTTAGAAGTAACTTAAAGCATAAGGGAAAGAAAACACTGAATTGCTATTGCAGAGAAACAGTTGGGGAAAAACTAAGATAAATATCATTGAGACAAATTATTAAGATGTTTCTTTTTATCACAACACTCAAAACTTAACAGCAAACGATCATGAATTTATGTGAACTGCTTTATGAATGTATAACAAGATGCATCTTTGCCCCAAGCATTTTCAATTTCATGTTCTTACCCTGTAATCCTACCAGAAGAGCAAATATCTATTCTTAATTTAAATCAAATTCTTTCTAATGCTTCTAATAAAACATTAGGGGAGTGGGGTTGAGAAAGTAGAGAAAGAAACCCAAGGCTGTGCAGCCTGGCTTGGGGTGCTTTTACATAGTTATGTGCAACTCAATCTGAATTAGTCATATTGATGTCACGGGCGTTTCCAGGTATGACTTCTGCCTCACCGTACCTCATGCCTTCAAATATATGACTGGGAGTCTTAAGTGTTGGATCCGGCACGCACCAAGCGTGCGTGACTGCATTCAACACAGAATGACACTTCTTTATTCCCAGGATGGATGGGGAGATTTTTTTCTGCTTTCATCCATGTTCCACATTAGCAAAGAATTCTTTTTCTTTCCCTGATTTTACTGCATGAACATTAGTTCTAAAGATTTTTGTTTATGTTATCTTTCCTGAATTATTATCTTATTGTTATATAAATGTTCCTGTAAGTCAGCACAGCTGTGCCCTTCTGAGCAGCACTTGAGAGTCTCTTCAGGGTAAAGAATCTGCTAGCAGAGTAGAGCTTTTGAGAAGGAGGTAAACACATTAGCACAGGGAACAAACAAGTATTCTTTTGATGAAGCCATTAAAAACTTGAGATGATCATTAATAAGATTCCGTGCCTCTGCAGATCTCTTATCTTCATCTCCATCACAAATCACAGAATTACAGTGATTATTTATGACCCAGATCAGGGACTACTGATGGACACGGTGATAGATCTGTAGGTTAGAATGAACACAGCTTTTGCATTTGATAACCTTTTGTCCACCTCTCGCTAATTAGTGAATATACTCCTACAGCTTTGAAAACAGGTAAAATGAGATTCAGACCAACAGCAATGCTTTTTTTAAGGCCTGAACTTTTGAGTTTCACTGTCAACTTTTTATGCTTACCCTTCAGTGAACTAGTCCTTTTCCCCACCCATCTTCTCCTTTCTCTTCCTAAGCTTCTGTATAATTCCAAACTACTTCCCCATAGGGACTCAATATGTTTATGGTTTAGCATTAGGCAATGTTAGATAGTCTTTCTTTTTTTTTTTTCCTAATGAAGTGCATGGGGCAAAAAAAACAAACAGAAGAAACCCTTGCAATAAAACGTGGAGAAAATGAGTAAGATGTCCAGGGAGACAGTGATCAGTTAGAGTCCACCCAAAAGATTCAAACTCTGAGGTTCAAGCCTCCACCTCCCTTCAAAAGGATGCCCTCTCTGATCTCATCTTAGGTCACCAACACGAGGAAGTTTAAAGGATTCAGCCACTGAACTACACAGACAGCCTTATACAAACTACAAGAAACTACATATTCACATGCCTTTGGCTACAGCCTTCTGTGCCTCATGGTGCATCTCTAGAAAGGGAATGGTAGTATTGCCAGCTTCACAGGACAGGGGCAAGTTCAGTATTTCAGACTGGCTAAGAAGAGCTTACTCTGTTTCAGTCTTCATCCATCTGTTCAAAAGGTTGTCATTAAATATAGGAATAAAGGGATGTTTTTCTTAAAGAGAAAAAACCCCTTAATTTGCTTGCTATTTGTCTGCTTACAGACACAATGTGCTTTAAACAGTCATTTTTTAGTTTAATAACTTGAAATACACATACTACAATTTTCAAAATCTTTACTAGTTAAAAAACAGAAGTACAATGCACTGAACCAAATTCTTGCCAAGAATTCAAATTAAGTAGGCTTTTCAGAATGACAGCGTCACTGAAGAAATTCAACAGCAGAAGAACATCTCCCTCAATAAACTATCATTCTATTAACAAATTAAGCCTGTAATAAATGACAGTGTAACAGAATCAAAGATCAAATAAACTTTGGGCTTTTGCATTCCAATTTAACCATTATCAAAAGCCCACTAATTAACTGTGACAGGTCACCAGACACAATAGGCACAACCCAGCAGGGAAAAAAAAACAACAACAAAAGAAAATCAAGCACCAGCTCTTAACATTTTTATGTCTTCCACTTGCTTCCCAACTTGTTTCACATTCAGGTGCATCTTGTTTTCTAGATGCTTATAAAACAAGTTCTATTGGAAGGACAACACCTAAGTCTGTTAAAAATCATAACTTTCAAAAGAACATTAAACCTTTTTACACAGTATTAGCTAATCCTGAGTAAATACTTTTATAAATGCAGTGTAAGGGAAAGATTAAACTCTAAGTTATCTTCAAATCAAAAGGATTCTTTACCTCAGTGTTCAAGCATGGCATGAATTTTGAATGGACTGCTAATAAAATCCACCTGACACCCACACCTTGCATTCCAGAAATTCATTCCAGAAGTGAGGGAAAACACTACGGTATTAACATTGTTGTGCTAGATCACAGGGATCATTGAAAATCCTATGTTCAGCGTGAAATAATAATAATAAAAAAAATCTAGTTACCACTGTTACAGGGAAACTTATTAGTAAATGAAGAAGTTAAACAACAACACAGTAGGTCTTTTGTATTTTGGCATATGAATTTCAATTATACTTACGTTTAGCAATTCCATCCCCTGGATAGATATATCTATTGTATGCATCCATAATATATACCCGATGATCATCCATAAAGTCCCTCTCATGGCCATTTCCCTGAAGGAAATTTACAGTTAGCTATTCCTAGCACACTAACAAAGAACCAATTAATGTGCAAAATCTCAAGTAATTAAGACTAAAAAGATCTAATATTTAAAACTCCTCTATCCTCCTCTTATTTATAGTCTTGAAGGTTATTCTGAGATGTAGAGTTTTGAGGGCTCTGACAGCATCACTCTGAAGACAGCAGGTATTATCAAAATGGACATCCTTATACCTCTGTGAAGGTAATTATCATAGATCTCATTACACATATAAGAAAAATAAATGAAAATTAGAAGCTAATTGTCTTCAGCAACATCACAAAGGCAACTGTGACCACCAAATAAATCTCTCATCTTCCAATTGTGCAAAAAAAGTCACTTTCAACTGCTGCAGGGATAATCATATTCTTATACAAGGATTTAAAAAAATAAACAAAAATCAGACTACAGCTCCTCTGATAATTCAAGTCTTGGTGAGGTAAGTAATCCCTGGAAAAATTACAAACTAAAGACCCAACAATTTAATGTTTTGTTTAACACTAGAGATTCCCTGCAAAAATACTCTATTGGGTATAGAGGGATGCTCAAGAGAAAATTTAAACAATATTTTTTTCCACTCTCATTTAGACTTTCCTCCACCAGTATCAAGATAATCTTTTCACAGCAATCACTAAGATAATTTTTTTTTTACATCAGTGTACTATACAGATTCCCTAGCCCTTACCCACAAAAGAATTTCATTTAAACTATAGAAACAGATATTTCCAGAGATATATCTTCTGTAATTCAGTTACATAATTTATGTCCCTGGACAGTTAAGCTATATTTCTGATACAACTTCCCCTCCTGGAAACAAACAAACTAACAAAAAAAAAAGACTTTATGCTAAAAAAGGCAACTCCTACTTATTTCTTCAGCATATTTGGTCAACAAATAAACAGTTCATGAAGAGAAATCTACGAATATGGGAGTCTCTGGGTGAACCATTTTCTTATAAAGGTGAAACTCGCCAATGCACCAAGAATTGGAACACTTACAAGATGAGAATATCTGCATACTTAAAAAGATCTGCTGAGCTACTACTTCACACACGTCTCATTCCCCAAAGAAAGGAAACAAAGGGGTGATTCCGTGTGCAGACTGAGATTATCAGCACAATACCTGAAAATAAAAATATATTCCAAGAAATTCTTTAAAAAAACCCCCCCAAAACAACCAAAAACCCCAAAAAAACCACAAAAGTTCCACAGCCTGACAACGAAGGCTGAAGAAAATAACAATTACAAAACATCTTTCAATTGCATAATATGTGTCCCATTTCATGGTAATTTTAGGATGCCTTAATTTGCAGATAAGAGAAATGATAGAAGATGGAAAACTTGCAGCCATTGGGTTTCCTCACTGCCACGGAGCTACTTTAAAATAGTTTATTTACATAGAACAAGTTATCTTCATTGAAGATTCAGATTGGATATAGTTTTGGTGCATTAACTGCTTTTCTAAAGATAGTCTTTCCCTCCTTTCAGGATTTATTTTGAAAATCCTACCAAAGGTGAGATTTGTTTTCAGTACCCACAGTAAATCACTTTCCCAAGTGATGTATTTTCTTCACTTCATTAGCCTGAAGCCAGGCTTTCCATTAAAACACTGAAGGTCACCCTGCAAAGGTTGCTGCAAGGATCATGCAGCTGAACTAACTAATTCCATTTTAAGAGATTCTTGTTTCTTCTGGGATACTGATCTCCTCTGGAGACTGTTACAACTCCAGATCAGTATGCAACTCAAATATTTTCACATCTAGCCACATGATGGAGCTACAGCTCAGTTAAATTTCACTAATCTGGCTTAACAGCCTTTTGGACCATCAAATAATTATAAACTAAACTGGTCACAGTTTCCATCATCTATGATTAACTTTGTATTCTGCGAGTTGACAGTTTATACTACTATTAAAAAAAAAAAAAAAAGGTATTTCGAGCAAAACATCTGCATCACTGAATACAAGTAAATTGCTCACCTGATGAGCATCCAGATCAATAATCGTGGCTTTAGACACCCCTTGGACTCTTTCAAATAAGAACTGGATATATAAGCAAAGAAAAGATGGAGAAAGTTATGAAGTTAGGTGGCAGATTAAACTGGAGGTTTGAAGCTTGCCTCCAACAAGAATATTATTGTTCTGACTTGAATGTAGTGCGTGACTACTCATTTCATTCACCAGCTAAACAGCTAAATTACTCTACTTTATTTAATTACAAAAGCTCTAATATAATTTTTGTGGTTATACAATAAAACCCCCCACATGTTTCCAGGGATCTGTGCGGGTATCTGTCTACCTGTAGAAAAAGCTGGTAGAAAAAGGGAAGACAGATTTTTATTTATCTCCTTTCTCCCACAAAGTACCAAACACAACATGGGATCAAGGATATGTCTTTCTACAGCATCCCACACTGACTTCTTGGAAAGCAGATTCTGCCAATGAGGCATAAGCTCAACAGCACTGAACAACACAACGGAGCCCAGGGGAATAAATAAACCCTGTTGTGGTTAATACTGCCTCTGCCCAGGTGCAGCTGGTACCTCTCTGCATCCTGCACCAGCCAGACAGAAAAGGCCAGGTCCAACTGGGGATCACAAAGCTGATCGTGGCATCGCTGCTGCCAGAGGCTGGAGTGGAACCAGCAACAACTGTGGGTTGGGACAGGGTGAAGCAAGAGCTCCACACGCCCCAGAACATGGAG